CCGCAGGTTATTGCAACATTTGTCAGGGTAAAGTTGAAGGTGTGAGGCAGGGTGCAGCCTCTGAATGATTCTTCTCATGTCCACTTTGTTGAGAAGTTGTAGGGATTAGTGTCAGACTATTGTCTTCACTCCATACATCTTACCTTGCTATATCCTACATCAAATGAAGGACGGGTATGTGTCTATTTAAAGGTGACAACATCGTTCCCTGCTTATTCAGGGTAATGATTGATAGAGTGATTGTGTGTGTGTGTGTGTAACTCTGTTTTTGCTTTGGAAAGTAGACATTCCTTTGCCGTTGGGTGTGTCAATATGAGCAAAGCATTTTCAGCTGTAGAGAGCAGCAGAAAGTCAAACATCGAGGGATCTAATAATAACTTTTTGTGTTTTGCTGCCTGCCGTCCATCATATGCAGCGTTTTTACACAGAATCTGACATCCTCCGTAGACACATGTGGCACCTACTAAAAGGTAACAGTATGCTGATACTTAGAGAAGAGAAGCAAACAGAGGTTATGGTTAATCAGTGACATCAAGAGTACCATTTGTATATTAGTTTTACCAACAGTCCGAAACCAGCTCAGAAAGAAATAGCTTGTCAGGACCTCAGTCAGGTCTTCCTAACCATGTGCTTAACCCAGCAGTGTGTAGTGGGGGATTTTAGAAGCAATTTTGCAATTCAGTCTCTTGCTATTAAACATATTATTGCTGTCATGAATGTTTTTAGCAAATTGAAAAAAATTTGAATTTCTGAATTTGTGAGGCTGAGATTCTTTGAATGTGATAGATTAAACAGGACCATGTTCCTTTTATTCGGAGAAGTCAATGCTGTGTTTTAAAGTAGCAATTAAGCGTAACTGGTCTTTGGGGATGCTGTTGTAGCTCCTGAGAGATTAGTCATGGGACTTTCTCCTTACAGAGCTTTCACATGCTACATAATGCTGCCACTTCACCCTTGATTTATAAGCAATCATGTGTCACAGGGGACTGAGCGCCAGATACACCACATTTCATTGATCAGTCCTGCATGCTCAGGTTGAAGTTGTTTACCCTCTTTAGGCCGCTACAGCAAATCCAGGACTGCATGAAAGCTTTAGAAAAGTGCTATAAAGTGAGTATGCTCTCAAAATCAATCGTCAATTAACTCAATATGAAGAGCAAGAAATAAGGAAAACAAATCTATGTTTGGCATAGCTTTTAAAACAGCACCAACTCTACACAGCTTTTCAAAGTACTGCAGGGAGGTTGTTCCAAGTATCTTGGAGAACTACCCACAAATCTTCTATAGATTTACAAAAGCTATATCCTTAAGTGTTAGCTTTATAAATTCTCTGTGTACAGGTGTTAAATGCAGCATTAAGATCTGTAAAATAGTTATTAGTTTACTGCACACAATGTGGCTCTTAACAAGTAGATATTTTCAGATTTCACTCCCATGTATTCTCAAGTTTGGTTCCATGCATGGAATTTAAATTGTAAACTATAAACTATACTTTGTTCTGCCCCAACGCGAGGTGCTGTAGATAAGAGAGGTAGTCTGCTTTAACTTAAGCAGCTCTGGGCTCTGTTTGTTCTTGCAGGCTCCTTGGCACTCAGCTTGTCTTCATTTGTCTGTGTTGAATGACTGTGACCCGGTGTCACTCAGCCTCCTGAAGACAAACCTTTATCCCGCTCTCTGACAGACAATGGGTCTTTTGACTTACAGGAACACTGCATTCAGATGATGGCACTTTATCTCATCTTGAGGTAAAAAGTCATAAATTAAGGGACATGTCAGTCGGCACATTTTCTGGTGGTGTCAACTTTAGAGAAGTAAACGGAAATGAAGCTGGAAAAGAAACTGAGATAAAAAGATAAATTAAGTTTTAAGTGTTTAGGTGCAGGCTGTTTCCTGCTTTAACCTGGTTTCTCTCAATAACCTGGTGTGTATGTTAACTTAGCCTGTGTGATGACTAATTTAAGACATGCCGCTGCTTTGCTCCTCAGGGATAGTGACACAAGGCACAGGTGTCTTTCAGAGGGATCACAGAACTTGTGAATCTGTGTCTTCAGGTGAAAGTGATGCGAGAATCTGTTTGAATCTGAGACTGTGAAACTGTCTCAACTCTCTTTGGCACCATTTCCTTTTCTGTCATTCCCATTTTACGCCTAAACGGAGCCTTTCAAATTTGTTGCACAGTTGCTTCCACTTTCTTTTCCTCTTGCCTTGTGAGCTACATTGACTTAGGGAGAGTCACAGGAAGCGGGGTTGTGTAAGAAGCTCCAAGGAGTGGCTGGAGTCTGAGGTCAGTAGATCAGACCATGTGATCCAATGAGTCAGGGTGGGGTCACACTAACACTTTTGGCAGACTTGGATTACGATACTTTAAAGTGGAGATTTATCTACTACTAGAAATAGTATTTTGTCAAAGATGTTTATTATTCCTCGTAGAGTAGTTGGAAAAATGTCCCTGAAAGAAATATGGTTTAAAAGAATCAGATTTAGTTTTATCACTTGTTGCTCCAAAATGATATTGTGCACAGTTTGTTTTGTCTTCTCCTTAGTCAAGAAAATAACCCTAATGGTAATAATTAGACACTGGTTTGCCTCTGTTTAGTACAGACCAGAATGAGGTCATCTTTGCTTGGTTGGAGCTAAGCATTTATAGTTAGGCATCAACGTAATGACAGCCTTGGGAGCTGTTTGGCCTCACCTCCTTTGCTTCTCACCTACTTCTCAGCCTTCTGCTTGCTCCCCAATCTGTCTTTTTAAGTTTTTTTTATCTGCCTTAGAGTTCAGCTAGGCCATTTTTTCCTTCGGCATTTAGAGGGAGACACAAAAAAGAAATGTTGAAGAACCAGTCAGCCATGTGCTCATAGGACTGTGGTAGGTTGGCAGCAGCATCGCTGTCTTCACTCCTATCTCAAAGCCGCTGAGAGCAAACCATAGTGAAATTATTGTGGGCCAGATATTTCAGGGGGAACTTCAGAGGTAGGCTCTGATACATATTGTCTTTTTCCTTTGTTTAATAGTGTCTTTAATAGGCTTTCATTCCTTTTTTGTATGTTGTTTTTTCTGCTGCTGTATACCCCACAGTCTGCTTCGTGTGCAGTTTCCTTTCAGGCATGTTTATACTGTAGAGAGTTATTCATTTTGGGCTGATTATATATACAGATTTTGTATGTAGCAAGTCCTTTTTTTCCTTAAGGAGGCTGGTTAGTATCAAATGATATGGTAAAGGTTCACAGAAAAGTCAAATATGATGAGGTCCATTTGCTCTTAATCTAGGGTGATTTATTCCAGCTTACTTTGCAATCATAGTCCTATTTATGTGAACATCCTGAGAGAGAAAGCAATTTTTCCACCCCAACCGAATAGGCAACTTCTGGCAGTTTTCAAATTTGTGCTCAGTCAGTCCTGTCCGTGTTGTTCTCGTCTGTGTCTGTCAGCGAGGAGGAGTTCTGCCAAATTCAAACAGCTTTTCCCATTTCCCGTCGCTACAATTTCTGAGAATAAAGTGCAATGTCCTTGATTCAAAGGCTGCGGTGGAGGTGGGAGGGATTCAGGGCGGGATGTTGCAACACCATGAATGAGCAGGAAAGGAATTTGGGAGACTTGACAAGGGGATACATTAAAAATCCAGTGTGGGCTAACATACTTTCTAGTAGTAAAAGCTTATCTGTCATGTGACGCCAATGGCTCGGTTCAGCTCAGACACCTTGAAATGCTCACGCTGCCTTGATGACAGACTCCCAGAATACCTCAGGGTCACATTTTGTGTAAATGTCTGCGAGTGGGGGGGGGTGGGCTCCCACATGCTTCTTCTACCCACACACACACTGAACTTCATCTGTGGCCTAAAACCTTATGATCTCACTGTAAACAACCAAACCAACTCACATAAACTGAAAGTGCTTAAGAATTCTTCCCTTGTGCACAGTGGTGAGGGCATTTCCATAACAATATATGACCCTTTTAACCCTTAAAAATGATGTCTGTCTGCACTAAATTGGCTCCCTCAGTAGAGCTACTGTATATCGGGTTATACATTCGCCCTCAGGCTTCCATATTTCATGAGGAATACTATAATAGACTCTTTGAGGGAGGGAGTGATAAGTTAAAGCAGTAGGGATATTTTGAAAATTACCATATGGTTATTTTATGGTGTTTGCAATGGCAATATTCCACCACACATTCACATGTGAAGAGGTTCTTGTACATGCACCATTTTTGCTGCTTTTAATCGATTATTGGACATTTAAATTTAGGGCTATTTGACTAAAGCAATATTTAGCTACTCATGCCGCACATCCTTCAAAATATAGTGATGTAGAAACCAGTCTTTGTATTCTTATCTTGGAGATGACAGCAGCAGTGACTCTATGAAGCAGTTAATGTCATAGGAAAATCCCTGTTTCCCTCAAGTCACATAGCTCCTTTTTTAATAGACCCCTTGCTCTTGTCTGCCGCTGCAGCTCTGAGCTGTGGGGGGCGGCAGGATGAACATTGCTGCCACATCAGCCGCCATCCTCCCCACTGTCGACAGATTGTGTGTTTGATGTGTGATTTCATTTATTCACTTCACCTATCAGCTTTGAATATGAATTTCTGGGTGTTTTTCCCTTATTTGTCTATGAGACTGAATTACATACACAAATCATTATTTATCTCATGTGTTGTCTCAAGGCCATATGGCATTGATTTGGACTGTCACAGACATGAAACATTGACAGTGTTTTTTTCTCTTTGGGCCATATGGCATGTGTGGGTGTGTTTGTGTATTGCTGGTGGTGGCGTGTGACCATTGATAGTCACTTCCCTGCATCATTCGCCTATGTGTATCAGGGAGGGCTTGACAAAGAGCGTATTTCCGAGTAAATAGCGTTTGCACACACACACACACACACAGTCTGGATGTGTGGGTAAGATGGTGGGGGCTTTTTTCGGTTGTTTGTAGAGTTCTTGTATTGATCAGATCATTGTGTGTTTTTTTGTTTGTTTGTGTGTCTGTGTCCATGTAGGAGGAATGCCAGCTCCTGAGCAGAGCCCAGTGACGGAGGAGGGGCTTCTGCTGACCATCCACGACAGTTCAACTGGCCGCAACATGGAGGCTGACAACACCGCCAACAACATCCTGGCCTCTGTCAAAGAACAGGTAGGGTGCCTCTTCCATTCATACTGCACTAAGAAGCCCACTGATTGATGATACATCTCTCACATCATGGCACTGTTTCTGCTTTTACGAACCATTCATGCACAATGACATTTCTAGAACCCTAACATTGCCTGGGTGGTGGGCTAATAAGTATGACAAATGTGTTGCATTTGTGTCACGCACCCTGTTCTCACAGTAGTGATACATCATACCTCTGTGGCACAGAGTGTTGGGCTTGTACCCTGAATGTTTCAACAATGACCTCTATCATAACTCAAGGGTTGTCCAGTAACAAGAAGGTTGATGGTCTGAATCCATGCTCCTCCGGTCTGCATGCCAAAGTGTCCTTGGGCAGCACAGTGAACCCCAAATTGCACCTGAATGAATGTGTGTGAAAGGGTGAATGTGACTTGAAGTGTAAAGCCCTGAGCTTTCATTGGGCGCCAACACTAGATAAGCGCTATACAGATACAGTTCATTGAACATTGTACGACAACATGAACATTTAGACTGACTATATTTGAAAGCAAATCCTGGACATTAAAAGGTCTCAGGAAGCCAAGTGGTGTACTAGACGCTACCTTGTCCCTGTGATTGGTGATACTGAAGCAGTGACGTCTCTGCTGGTCCAATCATCAGGCTGCCAGACTCACTCCCTTCTACAAACAACGACGAGTGCCACAGGATGTCAAAGCATCACAGGGGGGCCCTCATTCATACAATACCCAATTTGCTCTTTCATTGGCAGCTGAGCCTTTCAGTTATCCGCTCTCATTTCATTTACAGCTTTTATTTGTAGCTAATGTGCTCCTTGGTGAGTTTTTAATTATGTTGATTGTTCAGTGAAGTTATTGTTCCATAAGGCACACCACCTCAAGTACATCAACAAAACTAATAATGTCCAATGTTTTTATTGTGCAATATTTATTATTGGACGTGTGATCCACTGGTTGAACCTGTCCTGACACAGAGCACAATGCAGAAAGCTGTCATTTCTCAGCGTGTAGTGTAATCAAATGGTCAGAGTGGACTGCGTTTACTTTGTGTCTTGTGCAAACATTTAAGTGGAATAAGCCAGAATAGGAGCCATTGGTCGTTTATTGCCAGCAGTCATGGCCTGGCTTGCATCAGGCGACCAGTAGGCTCATCTCCTGCAGGGACTGTGAGCCTGTGGAAGGACAAGCCCTCTGACTCATCCTATCTTTGCTCGTCTCTGTGTGATTCATTCACACACGCCTCTAGAATACACACTTATATATATATATACACACACTTTCCTTCCCTCTGTGGCTTCACTCCAGTCCTCCATATTCTTGGAAATCCAGCACAATACACACTAGGCTAAAGAGATTTTGCTCAATATTGATGATTTGTCACTCTGTTTTCTCCCATACCTCTTTTTTTTCCTGAATGAGAAGAACTTGACTTACTCCTTGAAGTGAGTTAAATGAATTCTCTGGTATTTACTTTCAAACATCCGACATTAATCCCATTTAGGCTTACTGCAGGAAAGTGTCTTCTGTTCACACGAGCAAATGAGGAAGTAAGTAAGGAAGGAAGGAGGGAGCACCTGGCGATGTCACTTCCTTCCCTGGAGTTATTCCTCGGTGGTTAGTCCAGTTCAAGCAGATATCCATGTAGGAAAGCAGGAAGAGCGAGTGCTCTGCCTGAGTCGCTGCTTTTGTAGAGTGACTCGCCGGAGACATGCCTCAGAGAGGATTCCTGGTGAATAGTCAAGACTGTAAAAAGACTGTTCTCAGTATTTAACAGAGTTTCAAAAGCAAAGAGGGTGAGTAAGAGCGAAAGTCAGAGGAGGTTAGAGACTGCGCTGAATGTGAGTGTGTTTTTTTTTTTTTTTTTTTTTTGCTCTCTGCGTTTGAGTGAGGTTTTCCTGTGATTGTTGAGCGTCAGAGCTTCGAGGGATCCAGTTGTTGATGTAAACATGCAAGTCTGCTGTGCTGTAGCTGTGGCCACAGTTAGGGCTGGGGCTTTGGACGACTGGGTGTTTGGTAAGTGTTTACACGATGGCTCTATTATCTTTCATGTTTTTATATCTGTGTCTTTTCCTTTGCTTGTTTCCCTGTGTTCTGTCGCTCCCTGCCTTCTTTCATCTCTCTCTCTTTCCAAACTTCTGTTGCTGTCATTGGTGTAGTTACAGCTGCAGAGGCTTTGCCCAGATGCCCAAACAAGGACAGATTCCTCAACATATTATGATTGCATGCTGCCTGTGTTCATTTGCTTGAATTTATGTCCCCTTTTTTGTCTCTCTGCTAACAAGTCCCTGTCTTTTTTGCCAGTAGTTTCAGGATTCGGTTCTGTTATGCTGCCACTTGTATTTAGGCTTAAGTTCAGTCTTTGCTCTGCACTTCTCCAGTAGCATTGATCCATCATCTGAATGACACATCCATAATGGTTTAGTACAGACCCCATTTAAGTGTTGAAATGTCAGTGTTTTTCTTGCTGCACGTTCCTACTTGCTTCAAGGAGCACAAAGTGTTTCTCAACCACAGAAGCCTAAAAAAATGGTACGGTAATTCTGAATAAACTTTACATATATCCCCTCTTCAATACTTATTATCTCTTCAAATTTTAATTCAACCTAAGGGTGCTTATCAAGGATTATCTAAGACCTAGATTTTTATCGAGTAATTTAAGCAGTGGAAGGCTGTGGCACTCATTTTGACAGATCAGACAGGCTTTTGTATAGATTCAGCAATCACGATGCTTAAGTGTGTCTTGTGAGAAAAGTAATCTGGATAAAATGTAATTATTAAATAATGTTTCTCATTTTGATAGTATTTAGCTAATCTATGAAAACTATGAATAGTAAAGCGTATACTTTTGAGGTGAGAGTGTAATTGATTTAATGTGATCTAACATGGATGGCAGATACTGCTTCATTAGACGTCAGCTGCTGCTTCAGTAGTGACACCACAGCTGGTTGTTATAACACTTAACGTGACAGCCTATTTTCTTAACGCATCATTCACCGACAATGTGTCTCCTGTACTCGAAATCAAGGCTCTCTTCTGCTTCATCGACCAAAAAAATGGCAGATGGGGGACAGGACTTGATGATAATTCTATATTATCATTTATTAATTCTCAGTGGGATAGTGTCAAAAATAATATGAACATGTTTTTTTTTTACTAAATTCTGTTATTCAAAGAAGGATTCTGAAAAAATGTCAATGATAAACCAACGAAATAAGCTGTTGATGTATTATATTTGTAATATTTTGAAACACAGATTATCAATGGCTGAAAAAATATTGCTCAGCCTGACTGAGACATTATATCAGAAAGGAAATGTTAGATGGGAGATGAACATTGGCCAATTCAGTGTTAACCTAATCTAATTCTGGAAGATTTCACCATTATCAGAAAATAGAATATAATGCTGAATAATGAACATTACAAAGAGAGACAGATACGTAGCGCAGATAGATTCCCCAGTTTTTAGTCTGGTTTTCTCAAGCCACAACTCATATAACTGTAACTTTAATCTCAAATATACAAATAACTGAAAAAGAAGACAATTTAAATCAACGAAAAGTGAACAAGTGAAGAATACAACAAATGCAGCGTAACTGTAGATCATTACGACATTATTCCAATGTTCTTTTCCAGGATGACAGGGCCACCATCACACAAGGTACAGAAGGGTTTCATATGTTTAATATGATGTTAAATGCATTATTGATTCATGCAGTAATGTTGTTCAGCAAGTCAGAATTTTCTCTGGTCTCTAAATTGTCAAGATGTGATTTATAGAGGGTAAAGATGACTGTCATTAATTAGAAAATAATGCTCCATGTGAAATCACAGTCATGCAATTACAGAGAGATGTAGAAGAAATTACCTGTTAACCGAAATAGAATAGCACACGAGCAACAAAGTTTTTTTTCTTTCTTTTGGTTTTGATATTTTCAAGCTTCATTTGTAATACATTTCTTTATGCTCCTCTCGTTTAGTGACAGCAGACCTTGGGGTTAAAAAATGCAGTGTTAGTAAACAAAGCAAGAAAGGTGCTAATGCAGTATTTTCTTTTGTTTTTACCTCGGCTGACGAGGTTATGTTGTCATTGCTGTTTGTAGTATTACACAAAAACTTTTGAACCAACTTCCTTGAAACTTAGTGAAGAGTCGGGTATGGGTCAAGGAAGAACCCATTCACTTTTAGAGCAGATACTTGTTAAGATAGATAGATAGATAGATAGATAGATTACTTTATTCATCCCCGAAGGGAAATTAAGTCGTCATAGCAGCTGGTATATTTGAATACAATAAAATACAATACAATAGAATGAAATAAAATATTGAGGTAGAAAGAATAAAAACAGAAACACAAGATGAATAGGTRGATAAGATAACGTGCAGTGGCAATATGATGGTAATGTTATTGTTAGACAGTATATAAAAATAGTACAGTATATATATAGTATATAATATAACATAATATATATTTATATAGATAGTAATTATACCAATATAATAGCAGTATATATTAATAATGGCAGCAACAGTATATATAATAATAATAATAGTAGTAGTAATAATATAATAATAATATGTACACATGTATAAATATGTGTATATAGACTTATAATGGGGCAGGTCCAGGATTTTTTTTCTTCTTTAACATTGTTAATGCAGAAATAGTCATGAAAACAAATCAGGGATATGTTAAGTCTATGGATTTGGAGCAGATCCAAATAATCATCCAAATTTTTAGAATCCAAATGAGTACATTTTTATGGGGGTTGGTCTTTATTTACCGTACAGCAAAAATTGAAATATATCTACACGATCTCAATACATAATATGATGATAAAGTGGCCAATCAGCCTTGGCGGGGGTACGGGCTCTCTGAGTGCCTTTCTTGTTTTAGATTGTATTACAGTAAAAAACACAGTGTTATTGAAATGAATGGAATGAAATATCAGAATTTGCATAAGCTGCAAAAACTTGAACTATGTCGTGATATACTGTCAACCCATAT